ATTCCTGAACCACTAATTACAGACTATAATCAAACCAGGCCCCCATTCCTGAACCACTAATTTCAAACTACAATCAAACCAGGCCCCCATTCCTTAACAACTAATTACAGACTACAATCAAACCAGGCCCCCATTCCTTAACAACTAATTACAGACTACAATCAAACCAGGCCCCCATTCCTGAACCACTAATTACAGACTACAATCAAACCAGGCCCCCATTCCTGAACCACTAATTTCAAACTACAATCAAACCAGGCCCCCATTCCTGAACCACTAATTACAGACTACAATCAAACCAGGCCCCCATTCCTGAACCACTAATTTCAAACTACAATCAAACCAGGCCCCCATTCCTTAACAACTAATTACAGACTACAATCAAACCAGGCCCCCATTCCTTAACAACTAATTACAGACTACAATCAAACCAGGCCCCCATTCCTGAACCACTAATTACAGACTACAATCAAACCAGGCCCCCATTCCTGAACCACTAATTTCAAACTACAATCAAACCAGGCCCCCATTCCTGAACCACTAATTACAGACTACAATCAAACCAGGCCCCCATTCCTGAACCACTAATTACAGACTACAATCAAACCAGGCCCCCATTCCTGAACCACTAATTACAAACTACAATCAAACCAGGCCCCCATTCCTGAACCACTAATTACAGACTACAATCAAACCAGGCCCCCATTCCTGAACCACTAATTACAGACTACAATCAAACCAGGCCCCCATTCCTGAACCACTAATTACAGACTACAATAAAACCAGGCCCCCATTCCTTAACAACTAATTACAGACTACAATCAAACCAGGCCCCCATTCCTGAACAACTAATTACAAACTACAATCAAACCAGGCCCCCATTCCTGAACCACTAATTACAGACTACAATCAAACCAGGCCCCCATTCCTGAACCACTAATTACAGACTACAATCAAACCAGGCCTACATTCCTGAACAACTAATTACAAACTACAATCAAACCAGGCCCCCATTCCTGAACCACTAATTACAAACTATAATCAAACCAGGCCCCCATTCCTGAACCACTAATTACAGACTACAATCAAACCAGGCCCCCATTCCTGAACCACTAATTACAGACTACAATCAAACCAGGCCCCCATTCCTGAACCACTAATTACAAACTATAATCAAACCAGGCCCCCATTCCTGAACCACTAATTACAGACTACAATCAAACCAGGCCCCCATTCCTGAACCACTAATTACAAACTATAATCAAACCAGGCCCCCATTCCTGAACAACTAATTACAAACTACAATCAAACCAGGCCCCCATTCCTGAACCACTAATTACAGACTACAATCAAACCAGGCCCCCATTCCTGAACCACTAATTACAGACTACAATCAAACCAGGCCCCCATTCCTGAACCACTAATTACAGACTACAATAAAACCAGGCCCCCATTCCTTAACAACTAATTACAAACTACAATCAAACCAGGCCCCCATTCCCGAACCACTAATTACAGACTACAATAAAACCAGGCCCCCATTCCTTAACAACTAATTACAAACTACAATCAAACCAGGCCCCCATTCCTGAACCACTAATTACAGACTAAAATAAAACCAGGCCCCCATTCCTGAACCACTAATTACAGACTAAAATCAAACCAGGCCCCCATTCCTGAACCACTAATTACAAACTACAATCAAACCAGGCCCCCATTCCTGAACCACTAATTACAGACTACAATCAAACCAGGCCCCCATTCCTGAACCACTAATTAAAGACTACAATCAAACCAGGCCCCCATTCTTGAACCACTAATTACAGACTACAATAAAACCAGGCCCCCATTCCTTAACAACTAATTACAAACTACAATCAAACCAGGCCCCCATTCCTGAACCACTAATTACAGACTACAATAAAACCAGGCCCCCATTCCTTAACAACTAATTACAAACTACAATCAAACCAGGCCCCAATTCCTGAACAACTAATTACAGACTACAATCAAACCAGGCCCCCATTCCTGAACCACTAATTACAGACTACAATCAAACCAGGCCCCCATTCCTTAACAACTAATTACAAACTACAATCAAACCAGGCCCCCATTCCTGAACCACTAATTACAGACTACAATCAAACCAGGCCCCCATTCCTTAACAACTAATTACAAACTACAATCAAACCAGGCCCCCATTCTTGAACCACTAATTACAGACTACAATCAAACCAGGCCCCCATTCCTGAACCACTAATTACAAACTATAATCAAACCAGGCCCCCATTCCTGAACCACTAATTACAGACTACAATCAAACCAGGCCCCCATTCCTGAACCACTAATTACAGACTACAATCAAACCAGGCCCCCATTCCTGAACCACTAATTACAGACTACAATCAAACCAGGCCCCCATTCCTGAACCACTAATTACAGACTACAATAAAACCAGGCCCCCATTCCTGAACCACTAACTACAAACTACAATCAAACCAGGCCCCCATTCCTGAACAACTAATTACAGACTACAATCAAACCAGGCCCCCATTCCTGAACAACTAATTACAAACTACAATCAAACCAGGCCCCAATTCTTGAACCACTAATTACAAACTACAATCAAACCAGGCCCCCATTCTTGAACCACTAATTACAGACTACAATCAAACCAGGCCCCCATTCCTGAACCACTAATTACAAACTACAATCAAACCAGGCCCCCATTCCTGAACAACTAATTACAAACTACAATCAAACCAGGCCCCCATTCCTGAACAACTAATTACAGACTACAATCAAACCAGGCCCCCATTCCTGAACCACTAATTACAAACTACAATCAAACCAGGCCCCCATTCCTGAACAACTAATTACAGACTACAATCAAACCAGGCCCCCATTCCTGAACAACTAATTACAGACTACAGTTTCTGTTCCTAAGAAGCAGCTTCTTTCCCGATTCTAGACCATCTAATGCAGAAAATCGATATCTCCATGTGACAAATTTGCGTGGATCCTGCATGACCCGATGCAGAAATCAAAGTTTATTCCAAATTCGTCCAATTCTTGATTCTGTTGGAGAAAGAGTTTACAGTAATAGTTTAATTCTAGCGAGTTCTGGTTCTATCACAAAAGAGATAATTACTCGGAGGATTCGTGAATAAAAAATTTTGTAACGATTAAAAAAAAATCAAAAATCGAAAAATTCCAGCTTTGAAGTCTAACCTAGAAGTAAAACACTCCTCATCACTTCAAACAGGATGAAGATAAAACTTGATGATAAGTCTAAAAAACTTATCCCAAAAACCTATAAATACAAAGAGCTTGAGTCCGACACAGCACATTGCACAGATGTGGTATAATTGAAACTTTGCGTATGCGGTATGTGACTACGGACTACCTAGTACCTACCGCCTAGTCTTGAAGCTTTATTATAGATAATACTATATTGACCCTGATGTCATATTAAATTATAGCGATCTAATAGCTTTATCTGTTTATGGGAGCTAAAAGAAAGTACTGCCCCCAGACAAAAGACTCAGCTTTAAAAGTTCGGATCCACTCAGACGACGCGCGTCACGGCCAAGAACCGCTCATCATAACATCTCGAACCAGCAATATTTATTTAAAACATTTAAATGCTCCACTCGAACCGTGGACAGGAGCATTTATAAAATGGAATGTGAGCTCGCTGCAGCAGCTCAGAAAGATGCTCCACTTCAGCACTCTCAGCTCCTTCCACTCTGTGATAATCTAATTCCTCTCGCGTCAAGATTGATAACCAGGCCAGTTAAATCATATCCGATATAACGGGATTCTGCGCTAACCCTCATTATGCCTTTTGGAGAGGGGAGTGAGCAGTTTAAATTGCAGTCGAGCTTGAAACTGGGGTTGTGAGATTTACAGGAACAAGAGATGCGATTGTAAACATCGAGCAAACCAAAACTTGATATATGCAGCGAAATATGCTTAGTTGCATTGATTTAACTTGAATGGATTATGTTGAAATGATCAAATCGAAATATTGCTAGATCGGTGTAACTTCAGAATCATATGGCAAATTTCACTGCAGTTATCTACCATGATTGGGCAGCATAAGCCATTAAGATATGTCTATGTTTAGTCAATATCAGTGCCTAACAAGGAAGATATACCCTTGTTAACAGTAACCATCTCAACAATGAGCGGGTAACAACATGATACTAACCATACAGTTAAATTAATAATCACAAAAATTTAGGGATTGACGTCGCGTCTGGAGAGATTATATCCGGTGCTCAACTCAAGAGTGAAATTAGAGTGACCAATAGAGTGTGCAGGATTTTAATAATGTGAATCTGCAGATTTAAATATGTAGCGAGAGTTTTCGTCAGAATTAGGTGACGCAGGTGTTTATGGTTACGACAAAGTTTGGATTGTATTTAAAATGGCATTACATTAGAGAACGCTTAGCAAACATATTTTGGAATTGTTCTGGGGGCTCTATGTAGTCAAAAAAATGCTTACAATGACGTCAACGTTCGATTAAAAGGGAGCAACATGTTCTGAAATTGGTCATACTATAGTAATGCTATTACTATGTAACCAATATATATCTCTAGGCTGAACATTTGGTATCATTCCTAGGACGAGAACTTGTTCTCACATCAAATATGTGTTTTAGATACAATATATCAAATCAAGTGAGCACCAATTACGGACTAAAAGTAATAGTAAAGGGATGGGCGAATACAAGACGTTGTTGGCAGTTAAAGATTCCGGTCGATGTGACGTCATTTGTAAATGCTCTTGAATAATTTCACAACAGGAAATTATTCGTGCTGAAGTTATGCCACTACCACGCGACGAAATCGGGTGTTATTTCGTTATAGATACAGATTTTCTGCAGAACACAACTGCAGATATTTCATGTCAATTTGATAGGTTGACCTGAGCCTGTTAAATTGTGGTATTAAATCAAAGTGGGATGAATTCTCGTGGTGTATTATGCTGATTATACAGTTTATCTCATCTATACTATATTTTAAACTTGACGAAATCTCCCCGGCAACGGCATAAAAACACTAAAACTTCAATGAAAAAAATGTCAGCTCGCAAATGGAGTTGAAAACTCACAATTTTCAGCAGGTTAAAGAAAAAGGAAATGCAAAGGACATAGCATTCTTAGAATTTTTATTTATGCCTTCAATTGTATGTAAATAACGTCGGAAGCGAGGGAAAATGAATCTTAGAATTATAGCGCAACTTGAACTTGACTGCGTCGTCCCTTAGATTAACTTCAAAGATTGCACGTTCGCGAGTAAGGCGTAAGCACAGATTGAAAATGCACGTTTTTATGCTTTATGATAGTCATGACTAACTCAAATTTACTCACACGCTATGATTAATCATAACTTTGGCGGTGATTGATATTTTTGATGCAGTAAAAATATCGATTAGGGAATACTTAAAACTAATTGTCGTCTAATAAAAAATCCATACTTCCTACAGTATGGAGCTAGACGAAGGAGAGAAATTGGAACATACCTGATTCTATATTTCCTCGAATATAGCTTTTGACTAGCGGGTTTCTAGTTATGTATGATATGCAGGATTGACTGAAGATAATTCCACTCAACTGTTTTTGGATTTTGTGCAACTTAATTTGTCTCCACTAATATGTTCTCAAACATAATTGTTCACCTAATTTTAAAGCTTCACTAGTATATTGATTACCCACTACGATAACGTACGCACTACGCTTTACCCATTTTACGCCCCTAACCCCTGTTCCCTACGGTGAAAACTTACCCTGGAAAAGATATCATCATGCAATAACAGTAAATAATTTAATATGCCAAAATAAAATGAACTCCAATATATACAAGGCTCACTATCTGAACAGTAATTTGAGGCTGAAACAATAATAACGTAAAAGGCTGTAAAATCGTTTAAAACGTATGAAAAAATAAAGTTTTATCATCATTTATTAATAAGTTTGTTATCAATTCAATAATCGCTAGCACAGCTCCAATATCATTCCCGCAGAACAATTATTTAAAAAAACCAGTATATCCAGGAAGCTGTAAGATCACATGGTGATTTCTAGCCTCTCTTTTACGAGCTTCTTTTGCCGCATTTTGAAGTGATCTGATACGTTGTCTGCGTCCACCTGAATAATATTATTAAAAGTTTTAAGAAACACGTGACGTAGCCCAACACCCAACAGGGGATCTTCATTTAGACATTTACAAAATCAATGATAATAATATATCTAATATCCACGAAGTTCTATTGTCAATTTTGACATTTCCTGCTACGGGCTTATAAATGAAAACTGCTGTATTAATGAGTTTTGCCATTGACTGATGTCTGATGGTATTAGTAAATTTGACTGTGAATTTATTGAATTTATTGGGTATAAACGACTATCGGTGATGATCAACTAAAGCAATGGTATTAGTTAGCTTATGTGGTTTAATACGTGCTAAGATCATATAAAATAATAGAGTTAAAATCAGAGATGACTGATCAGAAGGCATTGCTTACACTACAATTGTTGTTGAGCCGAAACAGAAGAAATAAACATGACAGTGGTTTAAGGGCACTCCTTATGTGGACCAATAAACGAGTAACGGAGATGTGAACCTGTAAAACTCAAAACAAAACCATGCAAATTTAAGGACTAAAATCCATGACGCTCTGGAGTCTGAACACAGTTACTGCTTTACTTAGGACTTATAGGATATTTTGTAAAAAAACAATTTCCACCATCGAATTTCCATAATTTCTTGAATAAACGATGTATTACGATTACATTTCCATTAATCGCAGTAAAGTTAAAACCTCTGAGTCGGAGAGGGTTTCCCTAGCGTTGACCTCTGGTGGTTTGAGAGAGGATCTGGAGTGAGTTGAAAAGCTGCACTGTGTACAGAGTTGAGGGGCACTGAGCCTCTTCCAATTTCCACCAACTGGAGTTAGGATTTAAGTAATATAAAGGCTTTAAATTAGTTTACAGATTGGATACAATTTTTTGTCGTATCCGTTAGGACGTTAGGTTTGATTTTTATTCACGTAATAATTATGAAAATAGAATGGTGACTGGTAAATATAAATCATATTTTTTATGGCGCGGCTGATTTCCAGATATGGAGATGATTGCAGTCATCCAAGTGGATTAAAACGTGGAAATAATAAAGTCTTACTACTTACTTTGCTTGTTGCATGTGCACCCGACCTTCAAACTCGGTTTTTTTCTTTTCAGAATCAAAGCATTCAAATCGTTTCTGAAATAAGAAAATCATGCCCCAAAAATCATAGGAGAGGTCACATGATCAACAATTTTCGAAACATTGACATTTGGTTTGCAGACAGGTTAATTATCCTATATTTAATAATATGTAAATCTACCTCCCAAAATAAAATACTCCGACGTCAATGTGCTCATAAGAGAGGAAGTATTTAAAATTACGAATACGCAAGATTTCAATAACATGCACCCCACACGACAGGAGCTCCTAATAATTGGATTTGATGCAGAAGGCGCAGTATTTACCATCTGAACTATGTTAGTGAGTATTTGGACAGCGGAAATAACGGTTTAAGGATATGGACACTTCAGGATTTAAGCACTTCATACGATGTTAATTTTAGAAAAAGATACGGTAAAAAGTTTTCAGTCCGCGTCCGGATTTAAATATTAAATATGTATTTAAGAAGACAAACCTGAGGTTAAGAACTATAGGCGAGGAGAGAATATCTTCAGCGGAGACAGGGGTGGTTTTAACGAGGTTAAGCACATAGTGAACATCACTCTCCAACTTCATCACTCCACTTGAACTGAGTGAGACTGATTTAAATTGCCACGTCACACCAAAAAATATAATTTCAGGTGTGATGTCTCGTACCGCAACATCATGAAAGTGATTATAGGTAGATAACAAACTCTGAACTGGTAGTGGATCGGTTACATAATATTACGTAAGCCAGTTTTTGACTTTTTCAAACCCCCTCCCCCTAACGTAATAATATCTGATCGACCCCTAGTTTAAAGAAAAAGCTGCAGAAACATAATTAAGAGCATTAAGAGGTGACTGGACAGAAATAAAATCATACCTGAAACTGATCTTCTTGTTGCTGACAAGGTGTTTCCCCAGCAACTGAGCAGTGTTGTTTATCAGCAAATGATGCACTCTCGTTAAGTATGGTTCGGGCAGGACAAGACTTGCGTCCGACACGATTTTTACTGATTCCATTATTTTCACCGCACACTTTGAGGGTACAGTCTCTGAAAAATGGAAAGGGTGTCATCATCAGCGGATGAAAATGATAAGCAGCTGGCCAAGAAAAATGAGATGATCAAACAATGGAAGGATTTCTTTAGTCGTGCCTACCGTAAATGTCTTGCTTCCAGTAGGACACATTAGGCAAGGACTCCGACAGTCCTTGACTGAGGGTAGAACTCAGTGGAGAAGATAATTGTTGGAGCACCCAGTCAGGAGCTTCCTGGAAATATCAAATGTTAGGAAAACTTTTAACATGTCTTGCCACAAATAGGGGCCGCGAGGAATATTTTCGCTAGCCATCAGAAGTAATATATTTGAGTAAATATCTTCCCATATCGATCGCATCTTTCTCCAAGAAGATCTTCTCTCGGTTGTGAATTGGGCTGATGCTAACAACATGGAGCTTAACGAGGAAAAGTTCCAGCTTCTACAACACGGCAAACACCGTACACTAGTGTCAATTACCTCATTTGGTTCAACTCATTTGCCTCTAGAGCCTTTGCACTGTACAACGTGGTCCCTCCTAGCATCAAGTCCCTCCTAACCTTGACAACTTTCAAACCTGCTCTTGATGCTTTCCTCAATGAATTCCCTGACACTCCACCAACATCTGGGTACACTGGACAGAACAGGAACTCAATGCTGGAGTGGGCCGGTGGCACGTGTCTCTGACGCGCTACTACTTGGCGGTGGAGATGCAAGACATTCTTGGCCTGGTAGCACTCTAGCTTGGAACCCAACCCAAGTATTAAGTAACCTAATTAAGTAATAGGGAAATTGCGATACATTTTTGGCCTTTGTGTGTTAGCCACATATGAGGGAAATTGGTAGAGTTTTGGAGGGTGGAGATGCGGAATTTCCCCCTTTTAACTTTTAAAGAACCAAAAGGACTGCATAATGTTAAGAATCGCAACATACAGTCGACATCGGATTATGAAATCAATCAAATTAATTCCCCTTCAAAAATTTCAATCTGTCACCGATGTGTTGGTTAGTTACAGCGGCTGTAAATTTGAAAAGGAATCTTTAATAAGGTTATTGTTTATTATGATATCTGATATCGCGTGCATGATTTCACATTCATGATGTTATTAACTTCATGACCATGTCATGTCTCAATATGTTCATGCAGCGCAATTTAACCGGCCATGCAGCTAGCCGCGCGCTAGCTAGCGCGCGTCCTCTTCGCGCCATATTATGTAAAACGTATTATCCGCGCGTTCCAACAAGTTCATTTTCTGGGAGGACCAGAATGCAATTTTCAAGGGTACCGATGTAATTATTGTAACTCATGACCAGTGGGCAGTGACCGCGAGACAGCATCGAAATAACAAACACTGTATACATTAAATACACACAAAACTGATGCCAAACTGTAGAATAACAGCATCGTCTCTATTCACGTGGGAAATAACCTTTAGTAATAAATTTGTTTCCAAAACAAACCTGGAGTAATTCAATATTCTCTTTGGTATGACCGAGATTCTTCAGATAGCATTGTGATAGATATGGAGGCACCCGTAATTCACCTGCAAATGAAAAGAACTTTACCAACAACGGTTATTCTCCTTAAAATATCCGAAAATTTTACTAAAGATAATTTTAGATTTTAAAACTTTGAGAAATGTTATCATGATTATGTCAAGTGTCAAAAATTTGACAAAACAAAAAGGTAGACTCACCTGACACAGCCAATTGTTTGTGTAAAGAGTCTAGGTAAACACTCAGTTCGTACAATTTAGCGATCGTCTCAAACAGCAGGCCATATTCTTTGGTAGATAGGAACTTTCCTAGCGCCCTGCAAGTTGGTTTCAATTAGATTTAGTAACTGAAGTCTCAAATATCATACTATTTGAGATACTTATCATGTAGGCTTATCATGTAGGCATATTCTTAAATTTTCATGAAATTTGCAGAATTGATTACTCGTTGACAAGAGATAACAAATCATGTGCACGCAAGTCGCAAGGCCTCATATCATAACAAAGTTGCTAAGCTGCAACGTGCAAAGGCTGCTCTATCGGTACAGCATTAACAAGCACGTATGGTATATTTTCGAGTCAAAGTAACCATGTCATTTGGTTAGATGTGGTAGATTTTCTGAATTTTATCCTTTTGCACAGCATTATCGATTGTCAGAAACTTGTCAAGAAATGTTCCCATGGGAATGACCTTGTATCATTTATATGTTATTCAACAATACTGAATACAGATGTTTAGATTTGTAGAATAAATTCTCACAGTACATACCTCCTGTAGCCCCTGAATATGTAGCGAAGAACTTGATTCAAGTGTTGGATATACTTTAACAGTAACATGATCTCTTCTTTACTGCTGCCTGAAAATAATATTTTATCATATCATCAACAGCATTAAGAAGTATCCAGCAACTGAGATTTTAATGGATTTCTGTGATTTACTAATTATTCCCATATTATAGCAATTTCAAAAATGCATCTTACTGTTTACCAGATATTAGATAACATGATCATAATAATAGTTAAAGTGTAATGTTTTTACAAGCAATATTCTGACCAATTTAAATGTGCCAATTCAAATTGTCATAACTTTTAAAATGTTTAATGTCGACTTCATAGAACTGCCAGTAATTAAGCTCGCTTTAATGTCCACTTATCGCAGACATTGCACTATAGTCTATTATATAGCATGCGTTATTTGTTTCCGTGAGCAGCAATAGAACACAGCTCATTACACAACATTAGACCTCTCTACTCTCTGAATACTAACTAGTAACTTAGTAACGTTAGTGTTCAGTTGGTAACCTTACATCTATTTATAGATTTATATAATACAACCTCTCGTACAAGTATTTTTAAAGAGACTCAGTATGATTCATATCTTAAACTATACAACTTAAGATGAAATGTGTTGCATCATAATGTATAATAGAACTAACTACTTAAAGAGAAACAGTTAACTTATCAATATATAAACTAGATTCAAATTATCCCAAAGTAGCGACAACATTCATAGAACTCGACAAGTCGATCTCAAGGATTGATTAAACAAATCCTTAAATAAATAAATAAATAAAGTAAAACTTTAAACTTATAAGACTTCCTTTTATTTGTTACAACTAACACACCTGTGTAAACAAGGACACAGGATTTTACTTGAATTTCTGGAGAACCCAAATGAACCTAAATATGAACTTCACGGTTGTCAAATCATAATTATCACGAAGGCCACCTGGATTATTAACCAGGTACATAAAATATATATGCTAGAAATGGGATATTAGGACATTAAAATGTCAAACCGTATGATAGATTTATAATGTTATATAATATAGAGTTATTCCGGATTTAAGACACCGAGAAAGAGCCGGCATATTAGACAGATCAAAGTAATAAGTAATAAACACTCTGTCTGTGTCCACGAATTTTATAGATACTGCTAAGAATTTACCACTATATTGGTTATACAGTAAACCCCCGATTTACCGTATGGCGTACAGTCGTGGGTAAATCGTGGTCAGGAGGAATTTTGGCGCTTTTTCAAGAAAATGTATGGACTTTCATTGAGCCACATAATTATCATTACGAGTTACTTACTCGAGTCGCTGAGAGCAAGATAAGAGAGTTTGTTAAAGTGTCGAGTGAGAACGTCGTTAATATCCTTCTTAATAGCACCTAACTGTATCTGTCCAAATATCTCCTCGATACCTGTGGAGGATGATATGTTAAGACTTGTTAATATCAAATATTAATACGTAGTGTAGTATACGTAGTTATTATAAAGTAATGTTTACTAAAGTGCAACTTTGAGAAGTCAGATTGCTTTGTGTCCAATACTTAGTAATTTTAAGATTAAGTAATTCTAAGTGATATGTAAATGTTTTTGTTTTCGAGAATCTGTCAAATAATACACAGTGCATAGTCTCACTGGTTTGTAGTAACAGTATAATCAGTAGTTGCGGAGTTCAGTATTGAGATACAAACTGAACTGAATGTAGCTACACTGTACGTAGATTTCAGCTATGAGAGATACGTTATATAATACACAAAAACACGCGTTAGTCTACAGTAAGAGTAATTGATCCAGGTATCAGGGGTGACTTTATAGTTGCAACAACACACAGAGCTGAGGCTCAGGTTTCACTGCGTCTCTTGGGCCAGGTGTGACCTGTACCGGGGTGATTTATCTCTGGGGATTACTGTTGCAATTATTTAATCTGCATCAAATTTATAGAAAATCTAATCAGGTTAACACCCAATCAGTTAATGTTTGTGGGATTGAGATAAAGATATCGGGCCGTGGACTTCATGAATTGGTCTGGTTGAGATATGGGACTAAATTGTAGACTGTACGTTATCTTCACGGGGCCAGTTACAATCCCTTGTAATGTTTAAGTAGCCATACAGCACAAATACCCACTCGGTTTATAGGACCCATACATAATGGCTCAAACTAAACGGAAGCGATGAAAATGCTCTATTAACACTGGTCATATTTGCAATGATCATTGATCGTGTCCACACATCACCTATTACTTAATATTCCAAATATAAGCTAGTGCAGTGTACTGTAATCTTATCGCTCAGTGGAAGCAGTGGAAGCTTTCTTGATAAAGCAGGAAACATCGAGGTTATCTTACATCCTGTAGATTGTTGTAAACGAGAGATCTGTACATTGAGTAGAGTAGCTAGTAGAGTAGAGCAGTATAAAGCTATGAGTTTATACTCCTACTACGGCTACTAACCGTATAATATCACCAGTTCACAGTATATAATAATATCAGTTTCTAAAACCAGCCAGGGTCAAACAATAGGACACAGTCAGCTTTTTGTTACACAACAAGTTATTCAGAAGTTGAAGTTATACTTTATAAGCACGGTTCTGAAATCCATGTACAATGCCTTCCAGCTATCTCGGATATAACATATATAATATCATTATATTATACTGAGTGGTGCTCAACTGTTTCTTTTAGGTCAACTTTGGAGAAAAACAAGACGAGGATTTATATTTTCTCCTTAATTAAAGCTATTTATATATTCGAAATAGTGACGTTACCTGAAATTGCGAATGTTTCATTGGGATTATGTAACAACTTTGGCAGGATCCTACCGAACATCAAATATGGTGAGGAATTTTAAAGAAGCTTCTTAATTAAATACTAATTAGTTTTTAAAGTGCTACTTGCCTGATTTTCCAGTAATGCATGTAAATTTTATAAGGTAAAAAGATTACGAACTATTTCGAACTATTTTAATATTTCACCAACAACAAAAATATAGATTTACCCCATGAACTTTGCAGAGTATGTGTAAATACTTCTAATGATTCGAGGAACCTCTGATCAAGAATAGTTTTTACCATATAATATTGGTTGCGGTATAAAATAAAATGCGTGTACTTTCCGTGAGTTTCTGTGATATAGTCTGAGATACAAAATTTAAAGATCACCCGAATCTATAATCAAAATAACATTAATATTTCATTTTGATAATTTCAACACTACTATTTATATAACAAATAATTTGAGGAGGTTCTCTAAAGATGATATTTTATTCGAAAAATTCAAGAGCCTAAACTGTGTATAATTCGCCTCTCCAAACAAATCTAAAATTAATATTTCATTACAGTTAATAACGTCCCAAGTGGATTAACGGGCCTCTAAACCAGGTATTAACGTGGCTAGCTGATATAGGACTACATATTAGGCTGACTCATTTAACAAGTCCTGAAACTTCTTGTTAACGAGATTGGTTTACAATTATTGCTGCCAGGGGAGCTTATCATAGATTAGAATATTCTCTTTAAAATTACTCTACATCTTAATAAGTTAGTAAGTTGAATGTACCCCTTTTTGTTTAAGATACTACAACACTAAAAACTTTAGTTCTGAAGCGCCCAAACTAACCTTATCTAATATAGATATTTACAAACCGTTATCTTACTACATAGTTACAGTGTATGACTGGGATACAATCTAGGAATCCGTCAGGTCTATTTCAGTCCACAACTAAACTTGGATCAGTAATGGGTTGATAATGTGATAACGAGATAATGAGTCTGGTACAGTGTAGCTGTCTGGAGGTAAGTGAGGCTAACTGTCCAGCCTTACTTCCTGTTGATAGTACGAACATAGCACGGGACTGTGAGTCACATACCAAACTTAGTAAAGACAGTGTTTATATTAATGTTATAGATTACTTGTCACCTTGATATAATAAGATCTTATGTAAACTGTTACCAGTAAGGAGGTAGTGTTTTATTCAATGTAGCTCTACTCAGTACAGCTGTGTAGAGTGTATAGTGAGATAATAACGTGTAACATGTAAAACAGTGACAATAAGAACAATAGAGCTCAGTCTGTGAGCCCCTTTATACCATGACATTAGACATAGTGAAGTGCATGCAGACAGACCCAGACAACAAATATCTTAAATATGCGAACTATGTAGTGTGTAGTAAGTAGCTTTTATAGTTGCACTTTACACACAACTGGCACTTCTTTAATTTACTGTACACCAGCTTCACCCGTATTATAATAATATGTACATATTGTTGTTATCAGGGAGTGTTATGTAAGTATGTTATTGACAATCCTATTTCCACCAACCAAAACTATAAGACATCAGGTTTGAGAAGGGTTATTTGAATTTCGAACGTTAGGACTTAGGAGGTTGCGTTGGTAGAACATTATGTAAAAATTTAACAATACATTATCAAGGTCACCTCATTCAGCATGAGGGTTTGAATTATAGGTCATCCGTCTCGTCATTGATTAAGTTATGTGATCTGAGTGAGACCCGTGATCCTGTAGTGCCTTATAATCGGTAGCCGACAGCAAACTATCAATATTGGGGAATATTGTACACAATGCTGCAGTAGTGATTACCTTGGTAACACTAGGTCACACATTCGTATCGAGGTTTCGAGGGTGTTGTAACCTTATCAATAATGCTATAAATTATATTGTGAAATAACAACATAATACTATTATAATATAATCAAGATATAAGATCTCCGTTGTCCGCACTTTATAGCACTTGTCGAATATTATGAGGCTTTTACAAATCCCAGCACCTTACTTATGGCACTTCATTATAATATGAGGCTTTCACATAACTCTTTTTAATGCTTCAGTGTTATATTTTACACCTTAGCACAGAGATAATGAGTAGCTATAAATAGGATATGGGTAGGTCTATCTAAAAGCACTTATAGTTGTATTACTATACAATAGAGCTATTGAATATCAAGCTGTAGTTCGTAAAGCGGTCACAAGAGCCTTTGGGAATACATTAATATGGCTTTAAATAACTTGTTTCCATAAATAAAATCACTGAAGTTGTTAACAAACCTTTGTTGATGAGAGAGCAGAGCTGAGCAAACTTCAGTTCCTTAGCGTGGTCGCACGTAATAACAGAGTAATAACCTGGTGAACAAAACGGGTGTGAGTTAATTAATTATGTGACTATAATTGAGTGAACATATTCTTGGGGAAAATTAATCGACCGCCAACTTGAAACGTTGCAAATTTATTAGTAAAAATTGTTACAAAATGTATCAAGAACAGCAGCTGTTGATTCATAAAATAACAAGGGCCTAGAATAACAGAGTATTGACTATTGATGTATCAGATCACTCACTAGTGCCCAGCTTGTAAACCATATACTCGAAACCACCAAGATCGCTGGCAGCTGTCCAACTGTTGGGTAAGCCGCGCTGCGCACACGTGTAGATTACATTAGTGAAGTTGTCCTCCCACCTGCGCTTCTTGCGTGTCTGATCACAGAACTGCTCGTGTACCAGCACTGCGCTTTTATCCTGTACAGTTTTACGATAAAAACATTAGCTTATCACTGTTTAGTGAGCAGCTCATCAAAGTAGGTACTTAGTGCTTACAGTTTCAAGACAACTCGGGACAGATTTTGATTAATTGACAAGGCCTTATATAGAAGTAGTGTTAGACAATTATATATCAAATCTTTGAACAGTACCCACCACTCACCCGAGAAAGTGAGAAATAACCAAACACACCAGTTCCCCAAAAATAAATCTAACAAACTTGACACTCACCCCACAAGATATCCTATTCTCGTAGAAAACAGAAGAAGAAGCCTGGTAGTACAGAGCTTTGAGTAGCTTGCGAGACAGCAGGTTCTCCACGTACTGTGAAGAGCAGTTGTCTGTTTTACAGGCCACTCTGTTCTCACCTGCTCCCTGCATCATAACCGACATCTGAAGGGGGTGTTTGTTGTTAGGTAAAGGGTTTTCTGTAGAGCAGTGAGAGAACATTAAAACATTCCAAACACTCTGGGGAGCAGTGATAGGTTGAGCGAGTTTAGCTGATCTTGTTAAGACTAATAAGAAGCTTGCCATGGATTTCATATTGGCACAGAATCACAGAATATTTTAGTCTCATGATTAACGAATTTTTTACCTTTTTTTGTGACAAGGTCGACACTACATTTCTGTATTCATAAATCCACGCAGCATTATATTCTGACGTAAAAAATACAGCTAAAGGATTTATCCGCTATATTTAATTGATATCATCTCAATGATTTTAATCAGTCGGCTAACATAAGATTAGGATTTAATGTGGATAGGATATAAGAGCACTAATGTTTCTCTTCAGGGGTTCAGGGATTTGGTATTATAAACTTTGATTTTATTTGATTTTAATGTGATTTTATAAACGTAATCTACAGAGGTGGTTAATGGTCAGAGGTCCGAGTCACAAACTTCGTGGGTGACTTAAGTAATAAGATGGAACCATTTTGTCACGTTCACCAAACCAGTACCAGTTTCAAGTTAACATGAGCATTCCTTTACTGTTCCGTGTCAGGGTTCTATTTATGTTTTTCCGACGAAAACCACCTCATTATAGAACCAAACTGCAAGTTTCACCGAAAATAGCCAGTATTTGAATGACGCGGACGTGTTAGTGTTTTAAAGCCTGTAAAATACCAGTGACTTTAAGAGTGAGAGTTAGTTCTACGTGACCTGCCAACTTTAAAAGTCATATACTTTTTCCAAGAAATCCTATACTTTGACGTGGTATTTAATGACCACTAAATCGGGCGCGAGCAGAATAATGTTTGTTTCAAATCCACTGTGATCTTATCAATATACAACGGAATCCACTGATTCAGATTCGATAGACTCGTTAAACCATGTATTGTTCAATGTTCATCAAATTTTACTTAATATTATTGAGCAAGTATTTCATGATTTTCAAGAATTCCAAACCCTGGTACGCATGTTGTGCCTCATTCCTTAAGAGGCGTGTCTACACTCTATAAATTATGCAATCATTTATTTATAGCAGAGTACCTGCTGGGAACAGAGACAGGAGTCAAGTATAAAAATAGAATCGTATAAACTGCGTGTGACAAACGTGCGTTAACTGTAAAGCTAGTCAAAATTTCTAGGACTAAGATGTTCTAATTTAAAATTCAGTAACCGCGCCCGATTTATTGAGCGAGGAAGTTAATCAAAGTTAGAACTTAGAACCGACCGAACTTTTACAGTTTTAAAGTTTAGTTTTACAGTTTGATAGTTGACCATTACATAATATCGGTCCACCTACCTAATATACAGTATAGCATTTAGCTTTCCTAATAATCTCACAAGACATAATCTCACAAGACATAATCTCACAAGACATAATCTCACAAGACATAATCTCACAAGACATAATCTCACAAGACATTATCTGTTTCAGCTTTGATTGGTAGTTTGATAGGAAGTAGGTCAATTTACGTAAGGTCTGGTAAAGCATTGGTTGATGAAACTGTGATTGATTGTTTCAATCTTTCTGAACCAGCTTTACTTTTACCCTCAATAATATAATTCATATTCATCACATGACACAATAGTGAAATAGTGAAATGTATTTCAATTCTTACATTCACCCAGCCTCCTAATATAACCATAATATAGGTATCAAAACGCTCGAGATCGTTCCAAGATATTAACTTATTAAGAATTGTTCGTATTTTTCAGCCAAATCACACCTACGGACCTTGCCTTATATGGTATAACCGCAGTCATGTGTATGCCAACCTTAGATCCAAGACACTCGGTATCTGAGATCACTCAAAATTATGTTCCTCATTCCTATTTTCTTGTTTTGGAGCAAGTTTTCTTATCTGAGAGGATAGCACTATGTGACAGTACTTTAGGTTGCATGTAACATTGTATCATGAGACATAACAATGAGGTAACAGTGAGCTGATTTTATTTCTGATTAGATCCTAATTTTAAAATATACTAGAAAGCCTGTGGTCACAGGGAGGAAGCTAATAGTATTCTTTGATGGTCAGTTTTTATTGACCCAACAAATATGCATTCCAAGTCCCAACCGAAGATACCGCCGCGCCGATTATTAATCATGCCGCATTTGGTTACTTCTATTTGCCGAACTTATGATTCCAGACAAGCTAAACGAAAGCAACATTTGTGACCTTTTAAATTGACAGGTTCATGCCGAAACTAACGTTTATTGAATTTGGTTCGATAACACATTAGAGAATCGTTTATTTGGGTAACACGACATCTGTCCGACAGCGACATCTGTCCGACAGCACTATTTTCGTGTGTTTGAAGTGATATCTCAAATTTGGCACATAGAAATTTATTCAAACTTGCAAAAATTATTTGTCTTAAAGCTATCTTACTATCTAGAAAGTTTCAAGAAAATCGTATCGTTCAATCTCCAGATATATGCTTTGGAACCACTGAAAACCACCGAATTGGATATATTTTTAGTTTTTAAGGTAATATCTTAAATTTGGCACATAGAAACTCGCTCAAACTTACACAGATTATTCGTCCTATAACCACCATACTTTATGGAAAGTTTCAAGAAAATCGTACGGTAGGATCCGACATAAACTATTGTCCAAATAACCTATTTTCTGAGTCGGACAGATGTCGCTGTCGGACAGATATCGGCCAATTGTTTATTTGAGAGAACAAATATAACCGTCACCTTGTAGAGATGTTGGCAGCAATTATTTCAAAATTTGTCCTGATTTTAAGTTAGGTACTATGGATTGATAATCATATGATATGGGAGCCACTTTTAATTTCGTTATTTAGTTATTTAACAATCATAAGTAGTTCTTTATATCAAGTTCTTTATATAAAGTTCAAAATTTGCTACGTCCTTATAATTTATTATTAATAAAACATGCCACTAAAAACGCTATCACAACCAAATTATACTACATCCCGCAAGTGGTCTAAACATTAAACCTACATATAGACGTCTTATATGGCTAACTTGGAAGTTAAAGATAACGTAATACTGGTTTCGTTGTACAAATTATCAGGGTGATATCGAAACTCATCCCGATATCACCCACAAAATGTATAGTAACCTTAGGTGTAAATAAACAATTTTCTATGAATAATCTAAATACAATTTCGTGTTATTCCTGACTGGTTAAACGACGGTAAAAATATTCTCTGTTAATTTCATTCCACACGGATAAAGGTAAACTAACGTATTTTAATAACACCAGCCGAGAGAAATGACCGATACACCCAATATAGTTCAACAAGAAAAATTAAGTGGAACAACTACTTCGTGTGCTGTAGGGACACAATTTATTAGGCATTAGCCATTAGCTACTTACGGCATCAAGGAAGGAGCCGCACTTGTTGGTACAATACTTGTGAAGGAAGTGACCGTGTTTCATGCACACTTGGCACTTTTGGACCGAGGAGGTGATGTCGGATATCTTTTCTGTATCTTGACCGGTTGGAACTGACTTGAAATGTGCTGATAGGATCTTGTGGTGGTACGATCTGTAATAATTCATAATTATTGGGCACTTTCAAAAACTATGTTAACGAATCTGTCACGGGAAAAATTTCAACTTCTAGAAGCTCTCATTTGGTGGATAAACTCAATATTTTGATTAAACTTTTTTTCAGCATAGGATTTGCGATAGTTCAACTTTTACAAAAAGAATAAAATGTCTACTATGTCTATGAGCAGAGATACACGCATTTAAATCAGGGCTAATAATGGTGGATATACTTTTCAGAGGGGTTTGGTGGATATATCCTTGATTGGCCTATAACTTTACGTGTGGTTAATTTATGGTGATTATTTAAAGATAGAATTGTAGCAAATCGATATGCCTCTATGATAAAAGGCGAAAATAAAGAAAGATTTCAATTTTAAGGCTAGATATGGTGGATAATAAAACGATGAAATAAAATTCAATACCGAAAATTTTCAACTGAAAAAATTATATTGGTCAACAAGTTCACCAGCTTTACTCAGTGAACGGATCAGGTTGGAAATCGTTTCAAGTTTATGATAGCATAGAAGATTTAATTTTTAGGCCATTTTTGGTGGATATATTGGAGCTTCAAGATTGATTTAATTTTAAAGTCAAATTCTGTGTCAATAATGCAGGTTATCCATTGTTAGACCCCAATTATCTTGTCTAGAAGCTGAAAATGCTTACAATTATTACTCTAGGGCCATAATGAATGGATATAGTTTCATACGAACTTAACAAACTGTCTCCTTTCAGCCTTTAGAGCCGTTTTTGGTGGATAAAAGCACACAAACGGGAAAATTTGCTTTTTTATCCACTATTTTTGGCCCTAGATGTGTTCTATCATGAAACTACAACTGTTTCTAGATAGAAGATCCCCTTTGCTGAGTCAGTTCAAAAGAATTTTCAGTCCAAGACGACTTTTAAGGTTAAAATTGGTGGATATTAAATGTGAATAACCTACCTCAGTGATTGAAATAACGATTTCTTGACTGATAACGTATGTGATCCTCTTTCAACGCCCAATAATTATATCTTAAGGTCGAAAGAGCTGAAAATCATTGCTCTGAGGTCGTAAAGAAGGGCTATAGTTTCAAGTAAACGTTCCAAACATTCTCCATTTAGGGCCGTTTTTGGTGGATAAATGCCTAAGAAATGAGCTTAAAAACGGTTAAATTTGCTTTTTTATCCACTATTTCTGGCCTTAGATTTGCTCATTTATGAAATCATACACTGATATCGGTTTGTTTAGACCTTTTTCTTGTTCAGCACAAAATGTGATAAGCTCAAGCCGACTTTTAAGGCCAAAATTGATGGATATCAAAATATCCAGGTCGATATTTTAAGTATTTTTGAGTTAATTATCCACCAAATTGGCCCTGAATGCTTAAAATGCCATACGACCTTACGCATAAATGTTCAACATCCTATAATTCATCTTTTTCAACTGTTTTCAATCATGATGATGTCTTATTTATTGATATTTTGGTAGCATTTACGTGTTTAACTAATTATTATTGACTTATATCCACCAAAAATAGCCTTTTAACTTGAATCTTGTACTTCATAGTTGATGCCATAGATTTAACATTGCCTTTGCATCATTTTATGGCCAGTAAATTGATGTTAGCTAACAAATAACAGTCTTAAAAAAGAGGTAAAAAAATATATCCACCAAATTTGGCCCTTAAGAAAAATCCCGGCCCTACATATGAAATTGTGAAGTTATAACGATTATTTATAAGTCTCAATCATATTTTAGGAGTTTAGATGGAATTAAATATTTTTAAAGGCCACCTGAAGTGGATTGGTCTGTTTCACTTTTATCCACCAGATTTAGCCCTAAATCGAAACAAAAAGTGGCAGATAGTAAAGGTTAGGGTTTAGCACACCATATCCTGAAGTTTCATCCCGTTCCAAAAATTATCCACCAAATTATGCCACAAAAACTGATTTTTGACAAATTTTAACATTTTTTCCGTGACAGATGTTTTTGAAAGTGCCCTATTACTCATCAATTTGTTTCTAAAACATCCTAGGAGAGTGGAGACCATAATGAGATTTCTATAACTAATCTATGTTGTTTGATCAAGAAAAGGTCTGTACAGACTACATACCATCAAACCAAGATCCCAACCAAGTTTTGAACACTAACCTTGCAATATAAAGGGCAGCCATCTCAACATTACAATCCACAATCTCCTCCAGAAGTATAGCCAGACCATCCTCCCTTCCCACCAGGACCGGGTGGTACACAATGTCGTTAAACTTGATAACATTCTCCACAGTTGAGTAGATCCGGGACCGGTAGTTTGCAAACAGGTAGCAGAACTTTATCTCGTTCAGGATTATCTGATGTGGGAAAGAAATTGGAATAAAGTGCCAGTAAAGTGCCAGTAAAATTATACGGTACCCGGCTTACAGCTGCACATAATTTTTCATAACTCCCCCCCCCCCCTTCCCGGCCCCCTTAAAACATAGTAATCTTTAAACGGTGACATATTGTGCAGACGCCAGACGTTACGTAGTGCTGGTACTGGTAGTAAAAACATGGTATGTTCCTATTTAGATATTGTGACCTAATTTAATTACAATTTTCTCGATTTAATTTAAATAAACTGTTCTCGACCTAATTTAAGTATTAATTGTTTTCAGTAATAGCGCGCAGTAAGCATGAAATTGCACTTATTATAATAAATTATAGAACTGCAGTTTAAGGAAGGCCTCATACAATGATTTGAGATCATTAAAACTGCCAATCAGCACCACGCAGATATCTCCTGTTAAAACTAAACAAGAAAATAACTTTGCGGAGGGGGTATGTCTAACCTGACGTGTGTTATGAACACATTGAATGAGGTCGAATGTGATCTGCTGGTAGAGGTGCTGGTAGCGGTGTAGTATACCACTCAGGTTGATACTACGGTCCAGTGACTTGAGCAGGTTGTGTACGGAGCAGGAGTCCAGGTCGTTCAGTAAACTTACTATCTGCGGGGAGGCGGTAGTTGTTACACCGACGCTGGGCCAGCAAGGTGCATTATACTGTAAAAATCAAGGCGCGGTTTTGAAAAGTGGGCATTCAAACTCGAAATCATAATCATTAAAGCATCAAGATCTGAATGTCAATTAGCTTCAATAGCTTAGCTTGACTATCGATAGCTTGACTATCTAAATAGCTTAGCTTGACTATCGATCGATAAAATCAACTTTTTCTGATTTGACAGCCGAAGACGGCGCTGGTTACCTGTTTACAAAGAATGTTAAGTTTTGGCAGTTTCGAAGTTTCCCCATTTAAAGTGTGGGATTGGTAGAAGGACACGTCACTGTACACTTCTTGTTGTAGGTTAAGGAACTGTTGCAGTTTAAAGAGGAACTGTGATGTGTAGTACCTGAGATGTTATCAGAACTTTGTAATGAAATTAACTTCTGAGTTCAGATAAAACAGTCTCTTACCTTAGAATCACACACTTTTCTAAGATAACAATAATCCCCTAGCACTTAGGTTACACCCGAAAGCTCATCATCAGAGAATTTTTATACATAATGCCTATTGTTTTGTAAGTACAATGTACATTCAATTAAACCAACCCGAAGAGTGGAATTGGATTCCCGTAAAAAACTCACTTCTGAGTGAAGAGTTTTCTGAGTAGAGTGAGTTGGGCTCTCTGTTGAATCAAGTTGGTCACATAGTCATACCAAATAAGTGAGGGAGTTCCGTGTTCTCTGTAGTGTCTGTTAACTACTGTGTCTTGTAGGTAACAGTGTCTGTTCAGTGGGTTCGCTACAACCACCCTGATGTTACAGGGATAAGTTTAATATTTCTTTGATCTCTGTTTGATTGTTAGTGTCATAAATATTTAGGGCTATTTAGTGATTTACATAATTTACAATTTTATCGCCAAATCATTCAACTTGTCATTATCATGGGCAATACAATTTCGATTAAACTCGGACTCCTTGGTTATATTTATAACATACCACGCGGCTTCTCCCTAATTTGGGATTTTATTAGATCTCGTGTGGACAGGGGTCGTTTAATTTATATTACCTGAGCTGTGGCAGTTTTGGCAGGAGGTGGATTTAATAGAGGTGGATTTATTAGCTGAACTGGAACATTATATTTCAAAATTTCACAAAAAGTAACCCAACTTTTGGCATTTTCAACATACTACGTGAAACGCTCAAGATAAATGTCAAAAAGTCCGAAAGTAAAGTGTCATAGAGAGGGAACTGTACGAGGTTTCTAAATTGGTACGTGTGCAGCTGCATTATATAATGTCATGATAAGTCGAGAGTGAAACTTGTCAAAGTGTTAAGCAGTTAAATTTAAACGCCAATTTAAGTTATTAATGGATTTAAAAATTGATCGAATACATTTAGTGTGGCCGGTGAGAGTGTTTCAGGTGAGAGTTGAAGCTTCAAAATTCGTTTGGCAGCTATTTGATCCTAGGAACAACAGATAAGCCAGAGATAGCAATAATTTGACAATATATTAAATTGCGGAGTGTTTGGACAGAGCGAGTTCATACTTTCGAACCGTTTTTACTACGAAAATGTAATGTGTGTTTTCGAATATAAAAGGCGGGTTTATACTTTTGCATTTCAACTGCGATAGTGAAGTTCCGGCCGTAGGCACGGGTTACACTAGTATTATGATAATCAGAAAGGCCTTTGTCCCAAATATCCCAAAAATAATATTTAAAGTATTCCATGTATGCCCGCTCCAATGATTCACTATGTTGCTGTCATGGAACTCGGCTCAAAGGAGCAATGTCATGTTACCAGATGACAAATGATGGTAACAGCTGTTCTATTTATGGCTATACTCTAAGTTTAATAGGCAATGATTGTAGACAGTAAACTTTGGAGAGTACACCAACCTACGTGATATGCCATGTATAGACTATAGGATATGCATGCATGATGGTGAACAGGGAATTGCAATATCTTGACTGTGAAATTGTACACTTGAGGTCTAAACCACGAGAAGAGGCCACATGTAAATCACAATTTCTGGTAAAATGTTGCTTGTTAAATTTGTTGTATGATGATCTTTAAAGTCAGCAGAATTTAGATATTTTACAGTAATCCTAAACCTGTGCAAATTCCACTTATATGTAGATCCGTCAAGTTCATTTGTCATAGAGAATGAGTAAATAATATTACCTTGACAAGGAGGAATAGACGTGTAGACCTTTCTTTGTGTCATCCTCGTAGAATGTGGGGCTACTTGGTGATATTTTCACATGCTTTTTCAGTGCCCTGAAAAATGTCCTCCAGGTAAAAATTCTGATTGTCGAATGGGAAAGTAAATTTGATAATATAGTAAATTCTTAGAATTCAGAAGTTTCATTAAGTTCCATCTATTACAAATGCGTTACTAGTCAAATTGAGTAAAAACTCTGTACCTTTCAGAAATAAAACCCTTTAGTGGGCTTCCACTACCAGAGGTGATAGATTTCTTTGAGTCATCTTTAGAAACTTTTGATTCTACAGACATCTGATTTTATGTGACCATGCATAGTCCTGTTATCATGATAAATTATCCCACTGTACAAGAAAGTAACATTAATTATATCAAAATATTATATTGAACAAGATTATACTATATAAGCATATTTTGGATGATGGATTGACTAAAAGATTGACAAAGGAACTTTTAAATATGTAAGGTTTCACAAAAATGATAGAGTAATAGATTTCAAGAAGTTGTTAAGGTTGTAGTGTGTCTCAACCCAACTGAGAGAAAATATGTATTTAAATTCATTACATGGAAAAGTGGATTGAGCCAGGAGAGGGGGGAGCAAATCTATGTGGGACAGCAACAATTAAGTGGGCAGTACAAAGGTTAATAGCCACTCTGACGGTAGTTACGAGTTTTCAAGGGTGGTCCTTAAGTGCCTGGAGAAAATTTGCTCTAGCTTTTTTTCACATCAGATCCAGATTTAAAACTAGACTCTTTGGGGTGGTTCCTGAGGCTATGGACAACACATTCCTGTAGAAAACTGCTTAATTGTCAAATAGACAGTGAATAGCCGGCCAATATCCAGAAACTGTTGGCTGTTAGAAGGCTGTTATCTAACAATTTTTGCTATTTGCTGTGTTACTTTGCAATACGGTTCCCGAGTTATCTAGTTTTAATAGCGATTGTCATTTACTCGTATTATCAACTAATGTCAATGTGTCCTAATTCTATCAAAGTGAAAGAAACACTTGAAACAAAACTGACTGATGGTTCCATAATTTGCAAAGCTCTTGTAATGTAATTGGTCTGTTTGGTCACCTCGACAGTAATTGGTCAACAAGAGTATTATACCCAACATTGACCGGCGAACTGATAGCTACTTCAGAAGCAATGAAACTACAATCTTCTAGATAAAATGAGTCTTAGTACTTTCAGCCGGAGCCATCATAAGTGACATAAATCTAAAAGATAGTATGGTTAGTTTCTAAATATAAACTCAAACTCTGAAAAGGAAACTGCCGTGAAATATGAAACATCAACAAAAGGACCAATTATTTAAAAAAATAATTTATGGAAAGCCCCTCAGACAAAATAAAAATCAATTATGCAATAAAGGAATCTTAAAAGGGTAATTGGTCAACACTCAACTATTGCCTTGCCAGCTCAGTAGTGATTAGCTTGCAGGCTGTGTACTCAAACTGGCATTCTTCGTGGGGTTTACCAATTTAAGGCTCTGTTCAGTAGCGTAACGTAGGGCCCTGCTGACCCCGCTGTGGGGGGGGGGGGCGCAATCTTAGGGGGCGCCAAATCGTCGTTTGAATGAGGGACAATTTTGGAAAACTTAACTGAGGTACTAGCGAAACTGTGCGTTCAGTTTCTACTTTTTGTTATCCTCTGGTCCCTAGGGGTCAGCTGACTCTGGACCAGAGGAAAATTACCAACAGCCAAAGTTTGATGCCTAAAAGCAGTCGAAAACCTTGCTCTAATAAGGTGAACAGCACGCACACTCCTTTGCCCCGTCAACATATATCTAATCTATTCAAAGAGTGACAACCATACTACAGATTGAATAAGGATTCCTTTAAATATAAAATAGATTTATTGTAATTTGTAATTTATTCTGTAATAAATGGCATATAATTGAAATTTTTGTTTAACTGACATTTTTGTTTAACTGACATGAAAGTAGAGACCTCTAATGGAGACCCATGTTATAATTCTATACAGATTATGTAACTGAACCATTTACGGCCCGTGCACCGTTATTGTGGGCAAAACATCAAACATGAGTTCTGTAACTGAAGAATGGCGATACTCCTTGTTGGCTGATGATGATGAAAATCTTAAAATAACTGGCTACAATGAGCATTTTATTAAAAATAAATAGTAAAGATCAAAAACTTCAATTTCCAAAAGACTAATAATTTTTAAATACCTACCTAACAAAATTACACCCGCTAAAACATTATAAAACATCAGTAATTAAGTACAAAATTAAAGATCTTAACAATTTCTACACTTCAAAATACTAGAATAAATGTTCATAGAACGATATTTGACTTTACCAGTCACTTGACGTTTCAAAATGAAACTGAGGTTGAAGATGCAGTTACAACTTGATAGTAGGTGCAGTGCTGTTTGCTCATCCGAGCCACAGATGCCAGGCGTGCCTATTTAACTATGCGCGGCGCTCTTTTCGAGGTTTTTACATATAAGGAAGTGATAACAAAATTGGTAAGTTAAAAATTTAATATAAAATAAATGTGAATATTTTCAATTTTTATTATTTGATGAAATGAACAAAGTACAAACTGAGCTGTACAATAAGTGCTACCCGGAGCAGCCCCACCTGACGGCCCCAGTTATTAACTCATGTCTCATCAACAGATATGATGGCCCTGATAGTCACCTGCCTAATCATTCAGACCGTGAAGTGACCATCCATCTGGAATCACGAACTACTTTCTATAGAGAACCTATACAGATACCGTTGTTTAATGGAATTGTTTACCAATTTCGTTATACTACCTATTCGGCTTATCAAATAGAAAAGATGATTTGTTAATCACGCCCTCTCCAACTAATCAATTTATGTACAAATCTGCATGGCTGTGGAACGAATTTCGTAAAGTTGGGCCGATGAATTTCACCTCCCCTTGCAGCTCTGTCAAGAATTTGCTTAAACAGTCACTTCTAAGAGCTCAAAACAGGTATGGAACTGATTGGTGTGACAAAAATTTCACTGAATTCTGAGTGAGAAGTGATACTTGCCTGTTATTCCCACTCACTGACTGATAATCTTATCTATGGATACCATGCTTGAATTTAGGTAAACAACATAGCACTTCCTCACCAGTCACGTTGGACGCGATCGCCGAATGATAAAACAATATGGGAACGCGCACAGCATTGCGCGCTGATACTCTAAATACTGTGCGCGTTTCGTCCGGAACCTGGGGAAGTTCCCGCTCTAATATTTCTGACGACAGTGATCACTCATTATGAGAACTAATCCCGACCACTTTCCCGGTCGAACCGTACCCAAATCAAACTAATTTATGAACCACGCGTATAGCCAACGTCCTTGCGGTGCTGAGCCGATGTAAAACTCTTCTGTCCAGTGGCGTAACTTTGCTTGTTGGCGCCCCCCCCCCCCCCCCCCGCTCAGTGACGAAAAGCGCCCCCCTAAAATTTTTTGTGTCCCTAAAAAAAAAAAAAAGGTTGGGTACTTTTTTTCTCGCCCCCCTACAGCTTTTTGCGCCCCCTTAAGCAAAAAAGGTACCCCAAATATTTTTTTCGCGTCGACCGAACGCTAAATTGGACAGGGAAATACACAAACAAGGCGTTTTTCAGTGAAAGGGCTTATACGGCGCCTCCCCCCCCCCCCCCCCCCCCCCCCCCCCCCCCCGCACAGCGGGGTCTGCGGGGCCCTAAGTTACGCCACTGCTTCTGTCTCTTGTTAATATTTTAGTTGTACTGTGCATAAAAGTGTGTAGTGACAAGTGTGTAGTGGTAATGTATATTATTTATTATGATGACGCGATATTTATAATGCAGAATTAAAAGCTGCTTTCGATATGACTGGTGGTGGGCTCTCTCCGGCGGGACATAGATCTATATAGGGGGTACCCGGGGTACGAGTTAACGAACAGTGTTCGTGTCCTTCCACAACCCCCTATTACCTGTGTTTCTGTCGGAAGAGCCTAATTCATCCGTTAGAATCGCAGAGTTAGCGGAGCTCATGATATCTCGCGACGTATACTGCATGAACGGTGCAAGACTTGCGCCGTTTGTTTCAGCATCCAGTTGCGAGTGCTTGCCCATCGAAAACATGATTAGTGATCGTGGATTTTATTGATATTACTGATTATCCATCATATTCAGTATTAATATTATCCATTATTTATTTATTGACATCCTTCAATCTCCAAAACGAGGTGTGAAGGTAAATTAACTTTGAGCCTTGTTTTGGCGACTGCTTAATCGATGGGCAAGTATGTATTTGTTTTTTAGCAGTGTTGAACATTGAAACAATTATAAAATGTTCATGTTTATTTTTATCTTATATAACGTACAATATGAATGACATATGCTATAGTGACGTAACATATATAGTGCAAAGAATTAGTAATTTGCTAGATGTGATTTAAGTGCAATTGTAAATTGCAAAATGTTAACGTCGATTATTACTAACATTTATCTGAATTTAATACAAGTACATGTCACATATAAATTGGGTAGCTGAATGAAACTCGTGCCTCAGAATTTTCCGTTCTTAGCACTGCAGTGTTCTCACCCTGTACTGCGTTAACGACCGAAATTTTCCCAATATGCAATAATTATTTTGCTTCTAAAATCCGTTGATAATTAATAATATATCGTGACATGTAATTGTAAGATAACAAACCTCGCGCGCGCGGCGCTAACATCTGCACCTGAGAATATCTCAGCAATGTGTGGCTGTCTGAGCTGCGCGGCGGGCTGTGTATTGTGTATATAGCTGAATTTAAATTTAGATTTATTTGTAAATGTATAATAATATTAAATATGTATTGATTGTTTTGTGGTAAATACAAATTTTGTTTCACTAAATTTTGTTTTACTTTTAGATAATTTTATAATTAAGCATTTTTAAAACTATTTTTTTAATGCGCTACAAGAAAACAGTTTTTACATAATTGATATTGTTTACAAATTCACAATTTTGTTGTATCACCTGGTGACTCCCACTGTTTCTTCACTATAGTAGAGTTTCTACGATACAGGGGAGCCGCGCACTCGTGCGCGGCGGGTCATACAACGTATGACAACAATTTTGGTAATCAATTTATTATTTCATTTGATTTTAAATTATATTATAACGTTAACCATTTCGTATTTATATCACTACATTATCATCATATTTTATTACCATTGTTAAAATTAACATATTCATTTTTAATTTTTCCCAAAGTGAAAATGTTTGAAATAACTCTCGTGCTAATTCGAAAAAGTTTAGAACAGTAACGATACAGCCCAGCTGTCGAAATGGAAACTCTTTACTGCAACTGGACTGGAGTGGAATAAAGGCAGCAATCTCGCTGTCCGGGTGGTCAGCAACTCTGATGACCCGATAGAGGATTCCATGACATATGTTGATTGACAATGTCAATCCGTCGAGATCGTTGCTCTGCGAAGCAACGATCGTCGACGATGCGAAGCAAGAATGCTAGTTCGCGCGGCGCGTCGAAGCGGCGAAGTCCTCCAATGACATATGAAGCACACCAAAGTAACCAAAGTAACATCCGTCAAATTAAAATCCAAAAATTCCAAATTTTGGAAAATTCAGTTTCCATGACAGTGAATTGGTTTTAAAAGGTGTTCGTGAAATGCAAGGATGTGCAGACTGAGCTATTTCTTCTTCCAGTTGATGGTCTAGAGTTGCCAAGGGGAACAGTCCTAGGAGACCAAGCTAGGCTGGACATTTCTGCAAGATCGATATGGAATGCTTCAGAGAGGGCATATTTTGATGTAAGGTGTAAGGGTATTCCATGCCCCAGCCCCCTCCAACGCAATTCAAGCAAATCGATCCCTGCAATGTACCAGTTTCATGAAAATGAGAAAAAACGATGTTACAACGCAAGGGTTCTTGAAGTGGAGAAAGGAAGCTCCACACCGTTAGTTTTCTCGACGTCTGGTGGAATGGGTGGTGAAGCTGAAAGACTAGTGAAGAAGCTGGCTAGTAAGATGGAGTACCACACAGGTCAAAGGTATGCTGATGCTGTGGGATATATTAGGAAGCGCCTTTGGTTTGAAATCTTAAGAACAACGATGATTTCTCTCCGGGGAGAGAGGGGCGAGAAAGAACTTAGCCAATATAGACAGTTTAGATTTGAACTTGGAGCCGCAAGGCCAAGGGTGATTTTCAAAACTTTGAGTTGTTGAAAGGTTTAGTTTTTTCTTTTTATATAGGGTCATTGTGACATTATGTGTATACTGTTTAAAAGGTGTTCTAAGGGGAATGGACTAAATAATCAGTGCATATTTAAACAAACGAAAAAAAATGAAATAGGGAGGTAAATACACAAAACTGTAGGAGGTTTTTTTTATGACAAAGATCTGAACAGTACACCTTCACACACAAAGGAAATTTTTAATAAACTATAAGTATTAGCTTTACCAAACGTGATAGCTAAATGTATATTATGCTTAATGCACAAAGTTTATTCTAACACTGCTCCACCAAATATTATAAGAATGTTCACTGTTTCAAACTTAAACGCACCTAGAAGAGAACCTGAGTTCTTTTTTTTTTTTTTTTTTTTTTTTTTTTTTTTTTTTTTTTTTTTTTTTTCTTTCCAAAAAATTTTTTCTTTCCTGCAGTACCATTTAACCGTTTATGTAATTCAGATAAGAGCATTTCTTACATTGGGCCTAAGTTATACAACAAAACAGTCAACATTATTAACAAAGACATAAAATACGTTACGACTTGCCTACAAGACAAATTCTTAAATTCATTCAAGTCTACAGTCAGCAAGCATGTGCTTACTGCACAAGCACTTAACCTGTATGACAAGGACTGGAACAACTCAAATTTCGTACATTTTTAGAAATTTAAATAATTTGGTACAACATACGTTGATAATAACGAGCAACAAAACTTTAACCTCATAACGAAATATGACTATCTTCGAGCATTTTTTACAATGCTATCGCTACCGCGCAATTTCACTGTCATTTACAAATACAAGATAAAAATATCACAGTTGCGCATTCTTCAGACCCTGTGTCGCTGTTCTAAATTTATGTCAAGAGATAAGAGTTATTTAGAAATTCTTAATAGTACTATTTAAATTTGCTAATAGCGTAATCATATTTTATACATTATTCATATTCTATAGATTGTGTGCATATATTTATATTTGATTGTAATTAAAGATTTTAAGGCGTTAGTGCCGAGTAATGCCTCTGGGTAGTGCTCCTCAATCAATCAGCTAAAGAATTAACTAAATGAGTAAGAAAATAAAATTGTTTACCCTTTAAATTTGTTGGTCCTTTTAATTTTGGCACCACTGGCTCTCTTCCTACATGCTTTTGAATGCATTTTTAAAGCTTTTCATGTCTCTAACTCATCCAGGAGCTGCTTGACGATCATATGTTTCACTTTGTCAAGAGGTTCAGTCTGGTATAAAGGCTGCAGTTCCTTGAGTGGCCGAAAACTTTGCCAATCCATCTTGTTGATGCATTGAATGTGTTCATTAGTCTATAACATTGGAAGTAGGCCATTGAAAATGTTGCAACAACATGCCCTGTTTTTCACCAGTACCTCAGAAGCAGGAACAAGCCAAGACCAAACTCTTTATCTCTGGGTCAAAGTCAGGAAAATTCATCTGGGTAACACTCATGTTGCAGCTATGCAGATTCACTCCATTGTTACCTGACCCATCATCAGTGACCTCAGTCCCTCAGCACCTATGCAGAATGCAAATGCTATCATGGTATGGTACGTTGATGACAGATCGACTAGTTTACTGTAAACTTAGTAATACAAAACATTTGTCAGTCCAGTCTGGCTGTACTGGTCTTTTCTGATTCAGTCAGTGCCCAGTATCCATTCTACGTATCATTCAATGACATAGCATTTACTATTTGACCCAGCAACTACAGCATATTCTAGTATTCTGTCCATATTTTTACCATTACCAACCTATGAACTGAGCATAAGAGTGGATGGCCCAATTTCATAACACCACCTGGGCCTACCAAATGGCTGATCACCAGTAAGGTTGATTTGGAGGTATGGATGACACATATGACCATTGGAGTATGGACATGTGTCAGGGATGGTATACTTGTAAGAATTAAATTGACAGGACTATCTATTGGAAATGGCAAAGATTACAATCTTCCCATGTGCAGATTTTGCTGATCAGACTTGAAATCACCTTTTCTAAAGGTTTTTCTAAAGGTTTCTTAAAAAGAAATCTTTGTGAGAAGCCAAAAGTCTAAAGTCGAAAATTATAATTAATTCAGAATTTCAATATCTTAGCAATTATGGCTAAGAGCAAAGCTTCTAAAGAACCACCAAAGGTCAAAGAAGAAGAAACTGTCACAGAAAGTGAAGAGCCAGCTCCAATTGAACAAGAAGCAGTTGAAGAAGAGCCATCAGCTATCACCCCTCCTATTATCCTTGAGACACCAATTGAGGCTCACTTAGCTCAAATTGTCATTGAAAGGTTAGTCTCTAAGTATAAAGTCGCAAGATTGACAGTCGATAGATGACTGCTCACACATACATTATTATAATAATATATATTATAGATATAATATATTATAAATATAATGTAGAATATACATTCTACTTAAATTATAAACATTTGAATTTGAGTCAACAATATCCTGTAATTGGCTAATTACACTTGTGTAACAATGTGGCTGTTGGAATACTCCGAAGTAAAATAAGTGTGAGATAAAAAATAATATCATAGAATTAGAGAATAATGAGCAAATATTCCGTTTTTCAGTTTCGGAGATGAAGAACAAGACCCTCTCTTCACTGGAGAAAGAACTGTGAAATATCATGGAGGTCATGTCTACACGGTAATAACTAACTGTGACTACTTAAACTTATTGACTGAACGATTTTAATTTGTTTCTTATACCCCTTTATAATTTTTGGTTCTTTTGAAACAATTAATTCAAGTGATTTTCCATAATCATTACGAACGAAAAATTCTTTTAAAATCAAAAGCGATAAATTAACATGTTAACATGGAATTTCCCTTTCATAGTATTATACATTATTGATATCAAGCTAAGACCTAAGTTGTTAAATCCCTCATTCAGGGTGAGTTTGAAGATGGTAAGATGGACGGTGAAGGGGAGTATACCTGGGCATATGGCTTAAAATATAAAGTGAGTTTAGAATTTTACCTATTATAGTTACTAGCAGGAACCCGTCTAAAGTGGTGTCAAGACTCAAGAGACTAAAATAATTATTACCTATTTAATTCGCGTTTTTGACACCACTTGGGGGTCCACATTTTGGGCACTAAAATTATTATTTTTGGGCACTAAAATTATTATTCCTTGGTCAATTTTTTATTTTTTTCATGCTGATTTGAAGACCATTAGAGCATTTGAATCAGTCAAAAAAGTTTAAGTTGTACATATCTTTTACCGTTTTTGCGGAAAGTCGTGTTAAAAAGTTGATGTCGTGGTGTCAGAGTTAATCATCACATATAGACAGCATGAGAGTAGGCCTGGCCATCTCGAAGTGATAAAATGGTACGGATATATATATATATATATATCGTCTCGCTTTATATATAGTAAGATAAGGTACCTAATACCTATTATAAATCAGAACCTCTCTATACCATGCCTCTTTAATACCATGTACCTCGATATACTGGGCCTCTACTTCACCCCAAATTTTAGTCAATTAGCCTGTATTGTATCAATGTATAGAAGTGATTACGGTGTCAATTAAAAACCTTTACTACTAAAGTTAACTCTCAAGATTCTAGAATCTTCTTTTTACAGAAAGTTGAAAAGTTTGCTGCCATGTACTAAATAGTAAATACTGATTACTGACAATAGCATATTATTCAGGGGGACTTTAGGAACAACGTTATTAGCGGTAGAGGCTGCTACATGTGGGGTGATGGTTCCGTGTACAAGGGTGAAGTAGAGGAGGGTTTCAGACATGGCAAGGGTTCCTTTTATTGTGCTGACAATCCCAGTATCTACTCCGGGGATTGGGTACATGGCAAACGGACTGGATCTGTAAGTATTTTTAACCTTTTATTAAAATTTGTAATATAGGTCATCATTGTTTGTTATCCTTAAGCCTTGAATTAGTAATTATTGTTTTTGGTAATTGTTTTCGTTGTATATAATTTTGGTAACTATAAAAATACCGTCTTTATTTTTACATTTTCATGCTTGACAGGGAAAGATTTGCTACGACAAGGACGAGCTATCGTACTACATTGGAGACTGGGTAGACAACAAGAAGTGTGGCAGAGGCTTCAGACAGTACCCAAGTGGAAGTACCTACGAGGGGGACTGGTTTGAGAACCTCCGGCATGGCCAGGGTACCATGCGCTGGGCAGGAACTGGCGAGTCTTATACAGGAGAGTGGAACATGGGCATTCAGGTTTTGAGGATCTCTTAATTAGTTAATTTTATTAGTTACACAATAAGCTAAACCGAGATATTATACAGAACAAAGAAGTAAAATCTTTACAAGTCTAATTCTGGGCTGAAGTGGGCTTGAACCCAGTAGTTCCACGTTAAGTTCATATCTGTCGCAGTCTTTGAAATATTCTTGAATTTTAATTAATTCAATTAGTCCAAACAATTCAGCCGTGAGTTATCATTTTGCTGTACTATTATAAGTTAACTACGCAGCACGGAGAAGGAACGCAAACGTGGGTGGTAGATACTAGCTCACAGCTGCCACTGAAGAATGAGTACAAAGGACAATGGGTGAATGGTATGTATAACAGTGCAGATTGTGGAATTTAACAACACTTCCTTTTAATGCACTAGAATTAGTTGGTTCAAAATATTTCATAATTTTAAAACATTTCGATTGAAGGTTTGATGCGTGTCTTGCCTCTTGATGGTGAGTAATGAGTATTAACTGAACTAACAATATGTCATTCTTGACATGTAACACCAATGATAACTAATTATGTTGACTTGACTCAGGGAAGCGCGATGGAGCTGGAATGTTCAACTATGCTAGTGGAGCGAGGTACGAGGGAGAGTGGAAGGACAATGCCAAGCATGGTTACGGAAAGTTCTTCTTCAAGGATGGAACCGTCTTCGCAGGTATTGGTCCGAAAATAAGCTTCTTGTTAGAGTTTTACAGTATAATTTACTTGCGCTTAGTTAATGAGAGTGGGGTAACCAGGAAAATAGCAAATTTTAAGATACATAATAAAATCGTTATTACATATTATACAGTCATCTAGCGAACTAGAAATATTTTAGAACAGTTAAAACGTTAGAAATTAAACGAAGACCACGGGTATTACATTAAGATAAGAAACGTACATACGGATAACAATTAAATCTACAACCACTCTTATAGCATGACATAATTGCAATTATAGAGTATGATTGACCTCCCGTGAAAATTATTAAGTAGTAGGCCGTAGAGGAGACGATTATCCATTGATGATTTCGCCCTGGCCAAAGGAGCAAAAATCCCAAAAGTGAATCAAATCGTCCCTTATTTGATATCATCTCTACCCCTACATCGTGAGCACTGACCACTATGTAAATAACTTATAGCACTAACCAATGTGTTGTTATATTTATATGGTTTACTTGCGACTGACTTAAGTTATCCTATCTGTATTGCTGTCTTTAAAAAACGTTTGTCTAACTCCGCTCCTTTGATCAGTCATCGGGCTTTTCAAGTATGTCTTATAAAATGTCATATTACCTAAACAAAGCTGCTGTTTCTCCGAAGATTATCTTCAGATTTAATATCCATCTCCACCGTATTAACAACCTTTAAAAAACTCTTTTGTACCTTTGGGGTATTGTACCTTGCCAAAATGGAACCTCTTGACCCGGTGCTGACATACAACGAGTTCCTTTTTATACCTCCACGTTTGAAGAAGATCTTCACTGCTCCCCTGAACTTCTCCATCCTACTGATGTAGATAAAAGGGTTGAGGGTGGCGTTCATTGACACACAGATCACATAGCAGACTGACCAGCTGTAATACTTGGAGAACGTGTCACCTCGTACGTTGAAGTTCTCGTAGATGTACAGAACCCAGATGATGAAAATAGGGAGGTTGAGGACAATGTAGGTCACCGTTATCAGGATAATAGTGATGGTTGCTTCCAGCTTCATGTTACGAACTGCACTGCTCAGAGTGGAGACTTTCAGCGAGGACAGCACACAGTAGCTTGATATGAAACAGCTAATGATGACGGGCACTATGGGGAATGCAAGCAGCACAGCCCCGTTAAATATCTCCAAGTTGGAGTACCAACCCGACCTTGTACTCTCCCAACAGTACGTGTCCTCCGGGGTGTACACAAAATATCCGTACTTGAATATAATGGGAACAGTGGACCACAGCACTAAATAACCGATATAAACCGACACAAATATCACGACCCTCTTAGTTTTGATCTGTCTGAGTGGGGAGATGAGGGAAATGGTGCGGGTGATGCTGAGAACCGCCACCAGGAACACAGACATGAAGGGGATGATGGCCCAGAGGATACCCCACCCGTAACAGAAGATACTGTTACCGTACCACATGGGCTGGCGGTGGTTGAGGTAGGAGATAGCAGTGGGGAGGCAGGTGGAGCAGGACAGGATGTCAACTAGGGTGATCAAGATGTAGAGGATGGTGGGCAGATCTTTACGGTGGTTGTGGAAGTAACGCAGTGCTACTAGGTTACCTGAGTGGATATGTTGTGTTATTGTACACGCACTGGGTATATCAATAATTATAAACGCAGTTGTTGAATTTTAGCCAAATTTTAAATGTTTTTTGGAATCATTGGTCATGTCAAGTTTTGGTATTTGAAATTTATGGATAGACCCAAGCAAATATACAAAAATGTTTTGATTCATACGGAAAATAGTCAGCTATTCCAAGTATTAAAAAGTAAATTTAATAAAAATATTATCATACCTGCTACGCCGACAGTTGCACAGAATATACAAACTGCAGCCAGAAAATAGTCTGCCTCTGTCGAGTGAGTGGATATTGACTCCATCTAAACAAGATAGGGTGGTTAAAACAGTAAGAAAACAGTAAGATGGAAGTGATAACTTCGTGTTATTATTTTATTGAGAGCTTAAAACACTTAGACTAAAAATAGCATTATTTTATGGACTTAGATAATATTATAAACCTTGCAGTCTCTGAATGCTTAAATTGCATGAGTAAATTATGAAGCATTTGATATTTTTTTCAAAAAATTTGCTGCTTATTAGAAAATAATCCAATACCGTACTATAATATTATAGAGTTATAGTAGGAGCAAAAACTGGTGAATAACGATTTTAAGTGGAGAAATTGAAATATAAACTTGAAATAGCAAAGAAACACCTTAATTTTTCGATTAGAGATTAAAAGTCGCTTTTGGCTCTGCTATTTATTTTAAAAGTGAAAAATGATACTAGATATCACGATTGTTTAATGTTTATGATCATCAATAATTGACGGAAGACTTAATATCCAATAATTATAAGTAGTAAAGCAGACATGAGACGGGATTATTCTGAAGTTCCAAATTAGCACAATGCTGACATATCTCATCAACACGACACTGTGAAAAATCGGAATAGTTATCTATAATAATAGATAATAAATAACATAGAATAGTTATCTATAATAATATGTCATAACATTCAATTCTATTAAATTATTTATGATAATGAATAATATAATACAATATCATCTATTATGATAGAAGTATAACATTGCTTTGATTTAATCTAAACAACAAAATTGAGAATAAAAAATCATCTAGTAACATAACTTAAATATATAGGTAATGCAGACTACAAGGTTAATCTGAATTAACGTAATGTCGACATATATCTTCAACACAACACCGCCGGGATTACTAGTTATATAGTAACAAAGTCGTGCAGTGAGCCTGAAATTGCATATTAACCCTGCTCCACGTGGTACTATGGAATACAGAGATTGTTCACGTGGTACTATGGAATATAGAGATTGTTCACGTGGTACTATGGAATTTAGACTTTGTATTTTCATATTATATCCAGAACGTTAGTCATAATATCACGTTATTATTTAGACGTGACTCGCATACGACAGATAATTGAAACGGAACAATTTCATGTTTGAATAACATGCAAAGTTTGCAAGCTAAGTCTAATTACGGAGGTCAGGGGAATTAATAAATTATTAGCCTGATTCAATGCAGAATATCAGAGATACAAGGTATAAATTAAGACTTGCCAGAAATGAGCAAAATTTGTAGACAGCTAAACCCTTAAAGCAACAAACGTCAAACAAGCACAGTATTACGAAGCCTATAGGGGAGACAAGAGGAGAAGAGGAGGAGAGGCTGGAGAGAGAAGAGGAGAAGAGGAGGAGAGGCTGGAGAGAGAAGGAGAGGCTGGGACAGGAGGTATATTATAGAATTAGTACGGTCTATGTCGTTAGTACTGCTGGTGAGCCTAACTTTCTGGGATGATTTCTGTGTAACCTCTTTACGTCTTCCTACGACGTTGATAATCTGTGTATTTAGCATTTTTGCTTGGTCACAATGTCTTAAAGCGGGTTTTATCAAGGATGTCCGTTGTGGCTTTGTGCTCAAAATTTCGCCACAAAAACCAACCAAGTTTACCAAGTAGCTTCTAATGATGATAAATACAGGAGGCCATAATAATATATCGGCAGTATTTTATCAAAATTATTCGAATTGTTATCATAACAATAATGAATCGTCATAAAAAAGTCATAAGATACGCAAATTTGGGGACTAATGAAGCAAACAAATCCTATACCGTAACAAAAATGACGTCAATGAAAGTCACCTCATTGAGTATCGACTATCGAGGAGGGCAACAAAAACCACTCACGTGCTGTTTGTGCTCGCTTACCGAAGAAAGCACACATGTCAAGTGTGAATTGGTAGCCACTGTTTAAAAAGACCCCAAAGGTATGATGGCCTGCATGGCGAATTGCTGAGTGAGTATTGCAGAAGCAGGAATTTGTTAGACAGTGCGTTAACATGCTTTTTGTTTAACAGACGCGGACGTTTGTGACTTCATTTTCCGGGCGTAAATTTTAAAGTTAGTGACCATTAACGGATTCAGAACGGAAAAATACTCAAAAATTGATAATAACGAGAGTTTTTGAATGACCATTGACTGGGCTGAGCTGCTGTATCTAGTTATTCTAGAATAAGAAATAATGCCGAGAAAATCAGCTGAGAGAATTTCAAACGTTTTGAATCTGTCGTCAAGTCAGAGGAGTTTTTGAAGTTAAATGAAACTTTTGGTGAAAACTGTCGTCAGGTCCGAACATCATCGTAAGTTCCTGGCGAAATTTTGATGAACAGGCTCACAATTATTATCACCAGTATGATTTGAACCAATCAGTTCCTTTCTTCTATTAGGTGACGAAAGGTACTTTGCTAGACTACTGCAAAAACTATTAACAAGATATTATAAATCTTGATGTTAACAAGTCTAACACTCTAACAATTAAAATCGCTTTTATCTAGTACTTTCAGCACTTTTCTTGAAAGTATGGTCCATTGTGGGGCACCGAATCTATCTGAATACCTTATACCTGAATACCTAATTCCTGAATAACTGAGTAAGAAGGCTACGTCCACCTACTGGCTGACGTCTATTAAAGTCCCTCTACTATCAAATATCAGGAATCTGACCATCAATATCAGTTAAAATTAAAACTAGGAACGTTATAACAGAGATATTATTGAATTCAATCTTTGCCACAGAAATTAAATATCGATAAACCAAACAAGTAATAAGTCAGTATGCCTTATCAATAGCACATTATAACAGTTATTGGAATAAACCAGTTAACACGCCTTGTAGTTTATATTGGAACGGTCGGTAAATACTCCAAGAAATATCATTTTCACGCGTGATTATAACTTTATAAGTGACGTTTATCAGAGCAAATTTGTCAGCTCAAAAGGGGAAGTATTGTGCCTCGCCGTATTGTTCGTTAGTCACATAAATAATGATGATCCAAATTGTAACGTGAGCGAAATTGCGGCGACTAATTTGTCATTTGTAAAGACTAAAGCGAAATATTGTAGAGGTAATCGATATATTTAATAAACATCATGGGCCGAGGGTTGCCCAGCAAAACTAAAACTTAAACAGGTTGCCCGTGAAACTGTGAAATTAAGTTTGGCGACTCTGCTCCCAACTGAAGCCAAAATCTATCATAAGATGTCTGCACTGGGCTTGTGGCATATTATGATACAAAAATACTTTTTCCTATATTATATTTATAGCAAGTAATCTAGGGAACTTTTGGGTGTTTTAAGCGCTACATTGTCTAACAAAATAGGGGGAGTTTCTGGAAATATCGCGAACAAGACAGGATATAAAGACAAAGGTTTCTCAAAATGCTTACAAGTAATTGTCCATGGTGTGACTATCGCAAACTAATTTGGCCTAGACAGAATTTGTGCGATATCTCGGGATATCTCCGTTATCACTGATTATGATGAATATAAGAAATTGCGTGATCTGTCATTAACATTTGTGGGTCTAAATATGTACATGTTAGGTAAACCTACAAATTCTTAGATTTTAAGTGGAACATCGGCATTTGCTTGCGTATTGTGTAATGTTCATAAAGTAGAACACAATATTATAACTGAGCAAATAAATTTTCCAAAAACCGAGTCAATGGATTTACTACAAACTTCGAATTGGCGTTTGATAAATTACTAACTTTTTTATTAATAAATACTTTACAGAAGAATGCTAGAAAGCAACTCAATCAGGGTTGCGCGACGGTGATTTGTATACAACTGGTGGCGTCTGAATTCATGAGGGGTAGCCAAAATTTAACTATAGCTAGGGTCAAACGTTTTTCATGACGTAATATCAAAAAATAGGAAAGTATAATTACTTTTTTTTAAATCAGGAAAAACACATCATGTTGAACATCCCAGAAAGTTTATTATTATTATTATCAGCTGGCAAAGTGATAATACTAAATGGAGTGACTTTTAATACTATCGATATTCGGGGGAAAAAAAACAAAAGAGGATGAATCTGGCAAATTAACAACTCGCAATCCCTCAAGAGATTGAAACTGAGTCACTTTAGTCACTTAAGATTCTACACAGTACACACAATGTGGTACAATGAGAACAATGTGTTGCAATCTAATGTTATAAAATTACTCAATAGAATACTCGCCAAGATTATATGCTTCACCATCTCAACAAACCCCTGGCTCTGTGAATCTGATCCTGCCCATCTGATTGTAAAACTTTCTATGAGGGTTATTCTACATTAATTATACATAATTCTACATTAATTATACATCTTGAATTGTCAAGAAACTCAGTGTTAGACATTAACCTGAATTATTTGTGAAAGGCAACGTTGTTGAATAGTTCAACCTGAGAGTACCAAAGAGTTTTAGGCAGGGTGGGAATCGCACTATTTACAAAATATTACAACTCAGCTCGTACTTTAAATTGCGCTATACAGTATACACTATACATTATATTATACAGGGTGGCCCAAAGGTAAAACTACCCACACGCAACCCTTTAATAACTCACGTTATTCGTGTCAGAATTTCTCAAAAATTTCAGAGAATATAGATATGGGTCAAACTTAGAATTTCTGAAAGTTTCGCAAAATTTCATTGATTACAGAGACCGTAGGAATTCTGACATAAATTAGAAATTCTGACATAAATTACGTGAGTTATTAAAAGGGTTGCGTGTGGGTAGTTATTTTTGGGCCACCATTATTATAATATAACCTTGCAGTATTGTAAAAAAGTAAAGGCACCCAAAGGAAATCAATGATTAAGGTTAATTGGAGTTCGTTAGAAAGTGGGGGTTTAACTGCAATATGAATAAGCAATGTGGCCAACTTGAATTATTATTATATTGAAATAGATCAAAAAAGAGTACACGATGTAACAGATTAACGGTGCATCAGCATTTCGTATTCGTAAACATAATAAAATTATAGCCTGATAAAAAAGAGGATTAAGAATGTACAGGTTATAACGTTCGATATTCAACCTATAGTCATTTCGGAAAAGCTGACTGATCGTATTATGATTTATTTTACCGCAGTCCATTCTTGAGAAAGACTTGAGGATAAATATTATTATATACCCGGCCAGTTGGTAATCTAGCTAGGCACACTTGGGGCACAAAATTGAAATTCCTGGGGCACAGTTGGGGCAAATAGTTACTTGGGGCACACTTGGGGCATAGTCGGGGCCAATACAGTTGGGGCATTTAAAAATATTATTTATCATCATGACAATGGTTATTCAATTCAAGCAGCAACTGTGCAGCTCCAATAAACGTGATATCCGTTACGATGCGCATAAAAATAAATGACATTAAATATTTTTAGACAAATTAATAAATGTTATTATCTGGCTGGCTGTTATTAACGACAACAAATATCTGAATAAGAATATTTTAAACACAACTGCAACCATGACACAAACAATCAGAACTTGGATTGTTTACTGAAAATTCTATTGAACTAAAACTATAACACTGCATTATGTGAATATCTGCGAGAACAATGAACTGAAGTATTTCCGTTACCTCCCACTGCAAATTGTAATCTACTAAAATATTTCAGTGATAAAAAATACAAGACAATTCAAAATATTGCAGGTAATTTCGAGAACGACAGTATTGTGGGAAGACCAGGCTCTCCAGATGTTGGGAAAATGATGAGAAGTGCTATTGTAACGGGGCGAGTCTCATCTCCTCTACAAAACGCAACTAAGGTATAATATTTTACTTTAAATACTTAGCATATATTACCCTCGGGGGTTTACGATCCAAAATTATAACATTAGCATATTAAAGATAATATAATATATGTTAATTGATATTTTACTGTGGCACATGCTTCGGAGCACATGGACGTTTTCAAGCAACCAAACAAATAATACTTCAAATTGAGTCCCTTAACAAACGGTTAACTACCTAAAAAGAAGCGCTCAGGAGACTGGATAAGCTGAACTTGCACTATACATATTTGTATAATCTATTCTTCTCAACAACTCAGGATGAAAGAACTGTTATAGCAATATCCACATTTACACGGGTCATCCGTCATGGTAATAATATATTCATATCATAAGGCTCACAGTCCTAAGGGTGACTGTATTAATTTGCAGTACAATGGGCCGGGAGGGGGCCTTAGTATCTGTAGATTATCTGCTCCTGGCACGGGAGAACTGAGAAGGAGAGCCTCCAAGATACGGGTCTATAGTTTTAATGTTTATAAATGATACGGTTAACAAAGAGAAACCCTGGCGAGATTATGAAGATACTCTGTCTCTTTGGTGTGGGACCCTCCTGGAAGAGGGTGCCAGGGAAATCTATGAGAATATGATGGGTGGAAAAGTGGAATGAAGTGGAATGAGGGGGAATTAATAAATGCCCGAATGCTGAAAGGATGATAACCAGAGATAATGAGGTAAAACTGTAAAACAGCACGAGAATTGGCATTAAGTCACTTGCACTCCGGTTTGATCCAGTTCCTTAGGCACAACATGACAATTGACAATAAGGCGCTTAGGGTGATTTGCAAAATTGACAATAGTTATATAGTAACTTGTTGGTAATATGTTGGTTGTCAAAGAGCTCGAGGTAATAAGAAAGTATTGCCCTCTTGGTCGTGCAATAGCTGGGCACTGTTCAAGAAAGTGCGAGACAGACGAATTGAGCTTTGTTGTTAGTTAATTCGACAAACATGATGTTCGAGCAACTTCCAATAGGAAAGTTAACTGGGCGTGGAATTTAATTGATTAATTGATTAATCGATTTAGAAACCCGTTTACCCGTAATGAACAATTGGTCTTAGGTTAGAGAGATGAATATTACAGATGAATATTACAATAAAGCTTTGTTCGTGAACAAAGCAGATGACAAAGAGAAACCCTTAATTTTAATTGAAGATGACGAGATTAAAAGAAAGTTCAATGAATCCTACAAAACAGGATGCGTGAGCAACTCAGTGCAAATTATACTTAGTTGATTATGCAATAAAATTAATTAATTGACTTGAGAAACCCGTTTACCCATAACATAAAAGCCATAAGAATTAGAAAAGCATTGGTTGAACTTGGATCATGGGTAGAAAACCTTGGTAAGGGTAACCTTGTTGCCTGCACAAGAGTAATTCTAACTGCACAGTGCACATCCACATTTTTTTATGAAAAGACTGATTTGAATCATATCTGCACAAAATTGTATGTTATCTGCACACTAAACTTTTCTAAAGACATGACTTCAATTTAAGTTGACAATGACGAGATTAAAAAATTTCAGCGAATCCTACAAAACATAATGCGTGAGCAACTTAGTGCAAATTATACTTAGTTGAGTCTAGAATTAATTAACTTTAGAAGCCCATTTATCCATTCGATAGTGTTGAAGAATTATCGAGGGGGCCAGAATTCAACGCTCCTCAATTAGTCGTAAGATTGTACTTGTCGAAATGTCGTACTTAACCCCTTGATAAGATTTAAGCATTTTTAATCAAATTATTATTAACTCATTATCTGTATCAAAGTGATCTAAGCAATTTTAAGGTAAATTTATGCATTTACATTATTTACACCACTCTTGACTCTCGCCCTGATTAGATAGTGATACTTGGTCCCACCCGCTAAATTAGTAATAGTTCACGGGCATCGAATTAGGGGATCAGTATGCATATCAAAAAACGTAGCAGGAAGGCATGGGGCCTCCCAAAAGGCAACCTTTGCTTATATCAACACAGTGGATATATTTTTGATTAGTGAATATTCTAGGCTGTGGTTATCTGTTTGGTGCCGTGTTTTCAGTCAATACGTTTACATTCATTATCAGCTGTATATATATATAACGGGATCAATAGAAATTTACCCAAGAAAACATGTATACTGTATGTAATAAACATTGGCTGAGCCTCCGCTTCCGTCTAATTTTAACTAGTTTTTGTAACTACTTGATCTTGGAAATGTGTTTAACCAAAAAAATAGCGGATTTGTTCCCACTAGGAACCGACCGGATTGGGGTTTTGGCTGCCGGACCGGATTCAGCCGGATTTGGATCTCAAATCCGGCAAGCCGGATTTTGCCGGACCGGAACCGGTGGTTTCAGAGTGAAATAAAAGGCAGCCGGATTTTGCCGGATTTTGCCGGAAAATTTCCTTCCTTTCCACGCCTAATCTTCATCGAGCACTTCTTGCAGCTTGCATAAGGGATCCCATTTTCTTCTGAGTAGAACAACCAGACGGACGATGTTTTAGATTTACTACTACTCGACTCGACTTAGGGCGGCTTCAACGTCCGAACAGATTCGGATTTTTTACAAATCTTCCTATCTACTACTAGACATTGCTTAAACAAGCAGTACGTAGCAGACACAATGTAACACGAGTAGACACGAGTCACGACACTAGACGAGTAATAATCAGAAATGATATCTAATTGGCATATGCTGCCAGACCCCACCCTGATTGAGCGCGTTTGTGCGAATTCCCTTTTTTCATGCAAGTCTGAGTATCATTGGGTCACGTGACTTACAACCAGAGGTGCTTAATAAGGTTGTTCGTAAGCAGGCACTGTCTAGTACAGTACTAATCACCGTCTGGCGTCTAGAGCTGAGTCACATGATTGCAGTAATGAGCTAATTAAACCCTGAACACGTGACCTTCATATTTCGTATTTCATAATCAGAAGATTAAATACTGCCAATTTTGCGATTATAGCCGGGGGCTAGCCCAGGGAGGTGGCCCAAAATATTTTCCGGTTTTTTATAAGTCCGCACCTACCCCTCGATACATTATTCTGTATTCTGGACTCAAGGTTTCCCCCGGTAATGCGATCTCGGAAGGCAGGCCTCCCCTTTGCAACACGAGCTCGGAAGCGGGAGCTCTCGATACAGGAGGTACGTCTCGAGAACGACTCGGACCGAAAACTTTTAAGTTAAAATTTTTCGAAGTTTTTCTGAAAACCACTTTTTTCCACGATTCAGGCTACCCTGTTCATTATTAGCCGAAAATATTTTTTCGGTTTTTCGAAGTCCCCACCTACCCCTCGATACACAATTTTGGACTCGAGGTTTCCCCTGGTAATGTGATCACGGAAGGCAGGCCTCCCCTTTGCAACACGAGCTCGGAAGCGGGAGCTCTCGATACAGGAGGTACGTCTCGAGAACGACTCGGACCGAAAAACTTCAAAGTCAAAATTTTTCAAAGTTTTTCTGAAAACCACTTTTTTCCACGATTCAGGCTACCCTGTTCATTATTAGCCGAAAATATTTTTTTGGTTTTTCGAAGTCCGCACCTACCCATCGATACACAATTCTGGACTCGAGGTTTCCCCCGGTAGTGTGATCTTGGAAGGCAGGCCTCCCCTTTGCAACACGAGCTCGGAAGCGGGAGCTCTCGATACAGGAGGTACGTCTCGAGAACGACTCGGACCGAAAAACTTCTAAGTCAAAATTTTTTTAAAGTTTTTCTTAAAACCACTTTTTTTCCACGATTCAGGCTACCCTGTTCATTATTAGCCGAAAATATTGTTTTGATTTTTTTTTCGGTAAAAAAAAACTGAAATCCGGCAAAAATCCGGCAAATTTTTTTCCAGCCGGAGCCGGAACCGGAACCGGATTTTGAAGCCGGATATCCGGCCGGAACCGGATTCAGCCGGATTTCCGGTCGGTTCCTAGTTCCCACCCATCAAAAAAATTGGATCGCTTTAATCCATAACATATCCTATTGTTGTGGAAGATCACAAGTCACTAACTCATGGGTAAAACCTTTTTACCCGGTAACAAAACAGCAAAATTGTTATTAGATTCAAGAGTGAAATCATTCTCGTTATGATCTGGACAATAATCTGGACAATATGTTCCCAGGTGATATCGTAACAATGAAACTTCAGTTTAAGTTAAGCTGCTCGCTTTTGCTCATTAAAATTCATGTTTAAACGCCAGCTATAATAATGACTACGAAGATCTTGAACTGAAAATCCAGATGGCTGATCTCTGACTGCAACTAAGCATGGTTGTTGCTAGATTACAATTGGTTGGAACAGATTGGAACAGGTCTGAAATAACTTAAATGAAAACGTTCAGAGAGTCAGAGGTAGTTCACTGCATCGGTGATGTTTAACTTCTACAAATTCCACAAATTCCATGTCGGTACGGAGAAATTTGTTGAGTTGTTGGCCATCACTGGCCTGTTTATTTACGACAAAGAGGAGACAACAAGTCAACAAATTTATTTTATTTAAACCGAGACAGTCCGCTATTCGTAATTGACTAATATGGGGATCTAGCAATTTACTATTCACATATTAGCCGATTAGGAAACCATTTTTTATGACGTATAATGCTGAGACCGAGTGCCTTATGTAATTGTATTGATAGAAGACGTGGTAAACTGTTGGTAAATGTATAATGATAGCAAATAATAATAAAATATTGTCGGTCAGTCGGGAAAACGTCAGCAAAGTTAAGTACAGATAATGGTACAGACAGGAAGTCATCTCAACGGACCTCAATCTTTAGCTCAAGTCTCTGTTGATGATACAGAACGTCATGATAGCTTGTAAAGTCATAAAGTGGACCCAGGCTTCCGATTGTTAAGCCAATTTAACGGTGCCTCAACAAGCCACCACAAACTTAGAAGACTAAAAGTAGACGTCCGACATGACATCAATGAATCATAATATATCGATATGTCTACAAACAAAGACTAAAGAAATAGCATGTTTGAAAGGTTTAATAT